GAGTGATTTGGCTTGGCGACTTGAACTACAGGATTTGCTTACCAGAACCCACAACTAGATCTTTAGTCAATGACAGGCAATGGAGCACGTTGTTACAAAATGATCAGGTATTCTTATATTACATCAGCAAAAGAAAAATTGATTGAACGAAGTTTCGAAGTTAAAGTTCTGTAAGCAGAAGTAAATAACATGCTATAACGAGTCAAATTGAATCGATGATCTAAAAGTTTGACGATGTTAAAAACTGAAATCCATCAGCTAAATTCAACCGTTAATTAATTACTGATCTTAAATTGGACATTGAAGTTGAAGGCAGAGCTAAGAGAAGGCTGCACCTTTGAGGGTTGGAATGAGGAGGAAATTGAGTTTGCGCCGACATATAAATACAATCTAGATTCTGATGATTATTATGGCTGCAATAATCAGAAAGGGAAGAAGGAAAAGAATCGAACCCCTGCCTGGTAAGTGATCGATCTCATAACACAAATGGAAAAGAACTAGCGAATTAATGTTTTAGAAGAAATCATAGTAAGTAGTGTAAAAATTATGCAGGTGTGATAGGATTATATGGTTTGGGAAGGGACTGAAACAAAGGCAGTATAGTCGAGGTGAGAGTAAGCTGTCGGACCACAGACCAGTACGAGCAATTTTCACAGCAGAGGTCAAGGTTCAGTGTCAATCAACAGAAAATTTTGTCAAAATGTTTTCATAACAACTTGTGAATATTTTCAAATCTTTAAGCTGAAGTCTTCAAATACAAACTACAGCGCCTCAAATATCTGGTGCTGAAAGCATGGGTGGATGTACAGTTGATATGGCGGGTGAATTTGAATCCAAAACTATTGATGCGAAGCATAAATTGATGTATTAAAATTGCAACAAATGATAAGTCTGAGCCTACAATATTAGAAATACAAACTTTAAAGGTTGGACCCATAGAGTTAATATCCTGAATCTACCTCTAACTAAAAGATGAGCGAAGTTTCGAACATCAACAAACTCTCATGTTTCATAGCACTGCGCATATTAAAAACTTCACCTACTTTTTTATACGTCTTCATCTCTATAACATACTCGTACAGATATCCAGTCCGTTGTGCAGAAAATCGTCTTTCGTACGCAAGTCGGAGCCTAGGGTTGCTGCAAAAGAATTTACCGGAATAGTTTGATATTTCATATGATAATTGCGTTGGTGATGGTGTCGAATAGATGAGTAGATTAGTAATATTTTGGAATTTTTAACCAAACTAAGCCATTATATAAAACAATTTACCAAAGTAATACATTTTTCTAAAATTTTACAAAACTAGTATAAACGTATTTCATGGTAACGTTTTAGCTTATATTTTTTTTTAAAAAAAAATAACAGCATTAG